CAATATAGGTTCAGTGACGCCTCTTTTTTTCCAGTGTTCTCCAGCCTCCACCTTCAAGGCCTGCCTTTCAGTGAAAACGATGCTGCAGGACGAAAAAGCACGAAAATCGTCACTTAGAGGTCTTATCGGGGATCAGCTGTGCGGGTGAGGGCGTAGTTCTGGGGATGGAACTCGCTGGGCACGTACAAACTGGGATCGGAATGGGGTTCTATGCACTTGGCATTGTTTTTTCTGTCTTTCTTTCACTTATCGTAGTTACTCGGTACTGTATCTACTCCTAACTACAATCTATATGCGAACCTCTAATCCTCTGGGACGGCGAATGATCGCGGGTTTTGCCTTCAACTATTCGATCAACGTAGTAGCTTGCTCCTACAGACAGGAATAAAAGGTCAAAACGACTCAAAGTTTCTTTGGTGACTTTCGCATGGACCGGAGGAACTCATTTTGAAAGAGTCATTCTCTTACCAGCTGCGAAGCGGAGTTCTACTACATCCACACTAGCTCCTGCTCGCGGCGCGCATGAGCTCAGGCTGTAAATCCATGGACAGTTTCAGAGAAAAAGAAAACGTATTAAATAAATACCGTTTCATATATGATTTGAGTGAAGAGTTTGAGATCGAGTTTATCCTCTTTCTATTTGCGGTGGCGTTATCGCAAAAACTTCATAAAAACGGCACAGCTGCCGTCTTCACTTCTCAGCAGTCTTCCCTTATTCAGTAAGGAGGGCTTGATCTGCTTTCACTGTGGCCGCGCCCGCGGGCTTTCCTTCATTTTCAGTGACACGCGTCTCATAAAATGATACCAAGCGCCGTGTTTGCATCGCATTCGCTACTTTTTCGGCTGACATGAGAACGAACGCGGTTTTAATGTTCTTTGAAATTGCGACTTCCAGCACAAGTCCCCCTAGTTAATGTGCCAACTGTTCCAATCTGATGGCAGTACTATCCTTCACTTTTGAGCACTTTTTGGCCTTTTTTCACAGACTTATCGAACCTTGTGAAAACCTACGGTTATTTCGAACATGGAATAAATGACCGTCAAATTGAACACGGTTCTTATTTCGAGTTTTTTTTTTCAACATAGGATCTCTTCTATTTTTTATTCTTCTCGCAGATATCGGGGAGGGGGGGAGGAGGGGAAGTTCTCTGTTACGGCTTGGATTATGAGCCCAAAAAAAGCTTGAACAGGGGCGCGTGGAACTCATGGTGACGGGGAAAAAGCCGTTGAGCCTTCTTCTTCACGGTGCTGGCGTCTACTTCCCAAGCTTTAGCAGAAAAGCTTCTCTACCTGTATGCTAACCTGCAGTTCTCTGAATCCAAGAAAAACCTGTTGTCCGCTGCCGGAGACGGGCAACACTTTCCATTCTTTCACGAAAGCCTTTTCGGTCTAATACAGTCCACTATCAGCCAGTCAGCGAAGATTTGAGACCTCTTTTCCACTGAAACTGAAACACGACCCCGTGTTTGCGGGCTCACCGCTAGTACGACCTCTACTGCATCCACCGTCCGAAATTCAGCTATTTTCGACAGAACTGAATTCACAAAACTCCGATTCCGATTTGGTTTTTATATGAAGCACAACCTTTGCCGCTTGTGCGAACAGTTTGTTCCAATTATCGTCTGACAACTGATATTACTCTATACCAGGTCCCTGGTTCTTCTCATTTATGGTTGTTTTTATGAAGGATTTGGAATTACTCCTCTGCAACTTTGAAGCGATGATTTAGCAGTTTTCTTTTCTGAGTTTACTGAGCAAACCCAGTTTTTTTTTGGCTTCTTCGGCCTTGGGTGACGAATCTAGAGCATCGTTTGAAGGTTCCTGTTGGGGTCGTACTTGGTTGATGGTGAGGGCACCCGCGTTTGATTCTGAGAGGAGATTTTCTGAGGCACAAAAAACAGTTTACCGGTTGTTAATTTTTCCCGTTTCGCGCTTTATCACGTCGAGTTTGTGGCCTCGCAGGACTGTTATATAGCTGCTATTTCTAACAGTTCCCTTCGTTCTGCTTTAGCTTCTCTGAAAGGTAATCGAAAATTCTGAAAAAATCAGGGAGCTGGAGGAATTTGTGGCAGGTAGGATGAGAAGAGGGTTATTTTATTTGTTTATTTGTTTATTAGCACTTACGTGCACCATCGACAGCAAAAAAGAACATGAATATTAAGAGCATACCAACTCAAAGGCAAATCAAACCGCTCGAAGGCAAATCAAACCGCTGGCAAATGAAACCGAAACAAAAGAAAACATAAACCGTTAGATATACTATTGTTTTATTGGTTCCTGCACAGGAACGTTTCACCTGCTGGGAGCCATACCGTTTGTCTGTGCCACATCTCTCACATTTCCTAGCTTAGTTTGCTTACAGCCAGCTGCTAGGACTACACAGAAGGCAAATTCTCACTATTTCGTATCGAAAGGAGCTTACAGTACTGGAAAATCGCTCGTTAAATTTACCACAGGTACCCTCCCCCTTCCCCATTTAGCAGACTAGCGCCTAGTTTTGCTGAGGGTGACGTAGCTGTGGTTACACTTTTTGGGTTTCGCTTACAATCTGTGTTTGTGCATGTACTGTTTGAAGTGTACCGCTTTTCAGCTGCAAAAACTACAGGTCATTACTGGGTTGGCCTGCCTGCGGCGCAATTTTCTAGTTGTTAGAAGAAAGTGAAGTCCGTGGTGTGAGCCATGGTTGTCAGTGTCGCATTTCAGCTCCGAGTCTTACTACGTTGTGGTTTCAATACAGAACTTCATTTACAATTAGCTGGTTTACTGATTCAGATTTGGCAGGACACCAAGTCCTTCCGTCATCGTTGTGGTGTTATCTTGATTCTTTGCCCTTGATGAACTTTCAAGGGTTATATTCTCAAGAGTGTTTTCAAGGGTTTTCAGGAGCTCTGACGGATATACGACACATCACGGGGATGTCTAAAAGGGCGGTGTCGTCGCGATCCACCCAGAGAAGAATAAGTTTGAGCGGGCCTTTTTTACAACATACAGATGCGACTTTCCAGCTAATGTGCAGCATCGCGAGGTGCAAAATGGCGGTGTCATTACGATTCACTTCCCTTCCTACAGCAGACCTCCCGGAATTTCCCGACCTCTTACCCTTTCCCCTAGTTCACCCAAAAATTCTCCAGTTTTCTCCCTGAAAAATGCCGTTGAGAGGAGGGCAGTAGGCGTCACCAATCAACCACCAATTCGAATCATGGGAAAAATGATCCATGGTAGTTCTGCGGCGGTGGCAACTAGAGAACGAGTAAGGGGTCTATCGCTACATAGCGAACCTGACGTTAACGTTAACGTTAAGAATTGAGAAGAGTCAGCAATCGGGAGGTATTTTCCTGCGGCGGCTCGAAAAATTTTTTAGTAAGGGAAGTACTCTCCTCCTCTCCAGCGGCGAGAACGACCTGGTGGGCTTATCCCAAGTACGGTGCCGCGCCTTCAGCACATTCGCCTCTGCACAAATTTTCCCCACATTTGCGCCCTCGAGCGGAGAGTGGGGTACAGTGTGCTTAGAGCGGAAAAAACTATTCACGGATCTACAAATAAAAAACATGTCCCATTCCCCAGCGGCCGAATACGTGTGGGTTTTGAGCAGTAGTGATGAGATTGGAGGTAGAGCTGGTTGTACGAGGGGGATCCCAGCGAATGGGGTCGTATATGCTGGCTGGAGGAAGGGGTTCACACTTTAAAAAAGCGCTTCCGATGGTTGAATTTTTTCGATCAGATTTTCCCCTTAGTTCTATGTGCACTATATCCCCCCACAGTCCTCCGGAGCGAAGTGGAGAGTTTTCGGAAATCCCCGGAAGAGTGCGAAGAGGCTGGGAGAACTCAGAAAGATGATAGGAAGGACGGGGAAGCAGGACACATCATTGGTTGGAGAGTTTAGTCGAGTCCGTACGACCTCCCTATTTTTGGGGGTTGGTACGGCCCCACCCCTTTCGGCCCCCACTTTTCCAGAAATTTCCCGAAGACTTCCCTACTTTTTCCCAAATTTTTTGCCATCGAGCAGGGGAGAGGGGTATATACATATACATATATAGTACATATATAGTAGTACGCATGATACAGGAAAATTACGAAAAGTCACCCACCACTCCCAGAAAGGCCAGAAAGTAAATACGACCCCTCCCCCTCCCAACAATGAGCAAGTACGACCCCCCCTTTTACAACGTCCGTGAAGCGAGAAAAATCAACTATCAAAATAAATTTTTCTCAGCCCAAATACGACCCCTCTCCTGGGGGCCAATACGACCTCCCTATTGGGAATTCCCCAACAATGATGTGCCCTGCGGCGAAGGAATGTCATACCAGAGGAGAAACTTTGAGGGAGGGGTCGCATTTCACAAAATTTGTCCCTACGGCAAAATGTCAGCTTGGGAACAATGCTTACTTATTAACTATACTATATTACTGGACATTACGGGATTAGTGTGTCTAATGTATGATTATTGTCCATTTTATGGGAAATGAATGTGATCTTGTGGTGAATGGGGGCCTAGCCGCACAACATAACGGGTTCGATCTGTTCAGCGACGCCACCGTCAGCGGCGGCCACCATATGAGATCCGTCGCTTAAGCTTCTCAAGTTCCACACTCGTACGCACACACAGCCACATGCATACACGCACATATACGATGTGGCGCAGTTTTCATCCGTTTTTTTCCGCCTCTTCTCGTTTATTGTCGTCTCCTATCACAAATCGTCAGTGCATACCAGTATTGTAGGGCATGTTGTGTGTTGCTGCTGCAGGTGGCCGCACAGCGAATATTCCGGTTTCGTGTGTCTTCGTTCTAGCGCTCTCTTCAACACTTGCTACCCACCACCACCGCACTCCCATGGCTGTCTTATCTTTCAGTCATATCATCACTAGGTGATCTCACTTGCGCTAGATTCACCCCCATACATACCTAAGTGTTTCGTATTCGTCAATGTTTGTTTTTTTATTGCCGTACATTACTCAACTTGTTTACCGCAACATTTACTTGACTCATTTTTGCTTCAGATATGATATTGTCAGTATTGTTATCAGCCCTGATAATCAGATCATTCGCTCAGAATGAAATCGATTTCGACAATCCTGGCGTGAGTTTCAAACTTTTTCGTCTTATTACTTTTTCCAGACCTTTTACGTTATGGCACCTATCCTGCGCATCTACCACTTGTCTATAGGAGAGAGCTCTGCTGTAACAAGAACTACTACTTGACCTCATAAGGCCCCCCCCCCTCAGATTTGTACTAGACAGGCTGTTCGGCCTTCAATAGAGCAGGGTATGTATCTGCGGAAAAGTTGATTGTTCCATAGATAACCAGTCAGCGCTACAGCTTCCCGTGGAACAGCGTGGCGGGACCGGCATGATCGATGGAGGCTCTCATTGGAAGCTTCCATGAACAAATGCGTTGCGGCGTGGGATAAAAACTAAAGGGCGTTAATTAAAGGCGAGCGGCACGATAAATTCCCAAGACCTGTAGGATCAATACGCCCGGCAGGAGAGAATTCGGTGCCCCTGAGCAGGCTCTGCATGGCGCCTTTTCCCAAAGGACCGTTATAGCGCTCTATCAAGCAGCAACACACCGACCTGGACGCCCACCGCGCCCGCCCGCCCACAAATGTCCGACCGATGCTCGTATCGCTTCATTTGCGAAGTACAATATGAAGCGAAGGGATTGATATGAAGCGGCTGCGGTGCTGCATGGATATATGAGTACATAAATGCAGCCGTATCTACCGTAGAGTTTCTGGCACGATGCCAAAGAAACTCGTCCGAAATTGCTTTCAGAGTCACGTCGAACAAAGGCTTTGTTCGCAGGTTTTTTGGCCGTTTCACTTCTTTCACTTTTTTCGCCATTTTCTTCTATGTAGCACCTCTGCTACTATTTAAGACCGAGTATCAAAGTATCGTGCCTTATGCCTTTAACCCCACTCCCCCCGGCACCGATTTGGACTAACCCGACATGAATTTGGACCATACATCAGCAATGAGTATGCCAGTGATTACCCAGTGTTTGCATACAACCACGCCACGAAATTTTGGAGGACGTGGTTATACTACACCAGAATAACACCTGTGATGCGGTTGCGTGAATATTCCCGAGAACGACCACCGTCCTATCGAATAGTGGGCGAAGACATGACCACAATCGTTCCACTAACAGCAGTAGCCTCTCTGATGAGTCACGCCCACTGCATCCCCGGATAAGGAGCGTACCCCCAAGACATGAAGATAATTGAACTCCATTGAGCACTTCCTATAATCGTTTCTGACAATGAACTGTTGTTAATTTTTCCCAGGTTTCAGGAGGTGGGGTTCAGATGTCAAGTAAGTGGAGATATTATGTAAGCGACTAGGTTTCGAAGAAAGGGCTCAATCGGTTAGGCGGAATGCGATCTATGGAACTGTGATCCTAATTCTCTATTCTACCCAGTGCGCTAACAGACCTACAATCGGCCCTGGTTAAGCTACCAAGGTAAGAGGTCCGAGATCCATCGTCTGAGAGCCCTACTCACCTTACGCGAGCGAGAGAGGCTGTCTTTTTTGAGGTTTGAACGTGTCACCTCAGCTAGGGGAGAGATGTTGACACTCTCGTCTAATGAATACGTATTGATCCGTTCTCATGATGCCCATGGCGCCTAAATTGCAAGGTGAAAAAGACGCGCTGTACGGTGTCAGCGGTCGTAATAACTCGTTCGAGTGCAAGTTCGGTTTTCCTTCCGCTCAAGGAGTGATATGCTAATTGAATTATCGTTCGATAAAGAGTTTTCGCGGTCTGGATCGCTCGTCAAAAGTGAAATCAAACGAAAGGAATAGAAGATACGACCAAAATTATATGAATAATTGAAGTCTATAAAATAGGCATGAGTAGAACCGTTACAGTCTGAGAATCCGAAGTTGTTGCCAGTCATGGGTGAGGGGCGCAGAACGCGGGCCAGTACCTGCTTCTCTTGGTTGAAGGCAAGTTTTACGGTAAAACGACAAGGCGTACAGGGTCGGTACACTTAGCACGAACGATATTATGCTCATCAACAGGTGCTGCATGGCGCCTATTCCAACCACGGGACCGGTATAACTCCTCACCAAAGCGCAACATGCCGACCTCGACACCCATCACGACCGCTCGCCCATAAATGGACTTTCAGTCACATCGACGCTAGTGCTTTCATCGCTTTATTTTTGAAGTGCAAATGGCATGAGGCGTTGCTACGAGGGTATAGGACTATAGACAAGTGGCCGTATATATCGCCAACGGGGAACTCGTCCACAAATTTTCGTCCAACGCCATGCAGAAAACGGGGTTTTCCGCAAACTTTCAACAATTCAATATCGCTTTTCCACCAGTCAAAGGTGTGAAACACGATAATTTGGTACTTCTCCAAAAATAGTAGCAGAGGTGCTACATGGTGGGAAAACTCTAGCGTGAGGTGCACTCAATACCGACACCACTGTCAGTCAGCGGAAACTAATTTGCAGCATCTTTCTCCGATATTTTCTGCCAACTTCTTACGAATTTCGCGGAGTTTTTTTTTCAAAAACTCTCCACTTTTCCTGGGAAGAAATTGCCATTATGCTGGAGGGGGTGGGGGGAGGGAGGTCTAGGATATAGCGCTTCTCGAAACAGTCAAAAAGGAAAAAATTCATTACCCGGAAACATTTTTCACAAGGACAAAAACCACTGAGTCCCTCCAGCGATCTGATACGACCCCTCTCACTAGGGATGTCCACGTATGACGTACCTTGGCAGAAGTACCTTTGGCGGTCATTGTGGTCCGCCACACATTATTGGAATAGTGCAGGATGTCTAGCCAGAGCTCACTATCCGTTGCCATCTGTTCTGTATGAACAAAAAGAGGTCGTATTTTCAGCCGCTGGAAAAAGGGTATCTTTTCCGCTTCTCGCCCATTTTGCCTGTTGGTTCTGCTCGACGGCATGTGTTCTGGGAAAGGGAACAGATGCATGAATGTGGAGATGGGCTGGGTGTCAGTAGACCTCCCTTCCCAAACCTATCTCCATTTCCGCGATCTACATTTCCCAAAATTTCCCGTATTTCCCAGCTTTTCATTCAAGGATTTTTCGTCTAGGGGGGGTACATTGCCAGTGTGTAACGGGAAAAACTACGAGAAATCAGCAACCAGGATTTTGTTCCAAACGCGGCAAATCTCTCTCAGAAAGCAATTTCTCTCAATCAAATACGACTCCCCCCTTTCCCAACAACGATTACAACGACCGAATACGACCCTCCTCCCCAGCGGCCAAGTACGACTTCCATGATCCATGTTGGTTTTACCCAACGATCCTCCTGTCTGGGAAACTTTGGTAAGATGGTAGGCAGCATGGGAAACAAGGTCATGCCAGAGGGGAACTTCTGCGAAAAGGTGATCCTTTGCGAAAATTTTCTCCACAGCGTAATAATGTGCCCTTTGTCTTTCACTCGAAATTCGCGGTACCGAATTTCTTTGCCTTACATTGTCACCAATGCTACCTTAGATGACGTTCAGCAGCGGAACCAATTCTCATCCATAACAATGAATTTTTTCAGAACTGCGGTACAGCTGGCTCGAACTGGAAACCATGCATAGAAAGAAAAGTTGCTGATCAGGTGTTTGGCTCGTGCTGTGAACGATTTGTTCCACCTGAATGCCGTGGCTTGTGCATCTATGAAACGAATGCAATCGAAGCAAGAGTCGTTGTGAGTATACGAATCTAATTATACAAGTCTTGTAGTCGAGTAGCAGTGCAGTAAGCAAATCAGAAAATGATGTCAGTCAAGCACATTTCATCATACCTTACTATTTG